TGCCTGCTTAGCAAACATGAGGCCCTAAATTCAAAACCTAATACTGTCAAAAATTTTTTTAAAAAAGGAACAGTGGCACTAATAATGAGCAAACTGAAAAAGAATGTATGAAAACAATTCCATTTACAATAGCCTCAAAAGAAATCAAATACCTAGGTGTAAACCTAACAAAAGATGTGAAAGACCTCTACAAGGAAAACTATACACTTCTGAAGAAAGAGATTGAGGAAGACTATAGAAAGTGGAGAGATCTCCCATGCTTGTGGACTGGTAGAATCAACATAGTAAAAATATCTATACCCCCAAAAATAATCTACATGTTTAATGCAATTCCCATCAAAATTCCAATGACATTCATTAAAGAGATTGAAAAATCTACCGTTAAATTTATATGGAAACACAAGAAGCCACAAATAGCCAAGGCAATACTCAGTCAAAAGAACAATGCAGGAGGTATCACAATACCTGACTTCAAACTATATTACAAAGCAATAACAATAAAAACAGCATGGTACTGGCACAAAAACAGACATGAAGACCAGTGGACAGAATAGAGGACCCAGATATGAAGCCACACAACTATAACCAACTTGTCTTTGACAAGGAGCTAAAAATATACGATGCAGAAATAGCAGCCTCTTCAACAAAAACTGCTGGGAAAACTGGCTAGCAGTCTGCAAAAAACTGAAACTAGATCCATGTATATCACCCTATACCAATATTAACTCAAAATGGATCAAGGATCTTAATATCAGACCACAAACTCTTAAGTTCATACAGGAAAGAGTAGGAAATACTCTGGAGTTAGTAGGTATAGGCAAGAACTTTCTCAATGAAACCCCAACAGCACAGCAACTAAGAGATAGCATAGATAAATGGGACCTCATAAAACTAAAAAGCTTCTGTTCATCAAAAGAAATGGTCTCTAAACTGAAGAGAACACCCACAGAGTGGGAGAAAATATTTGCCAGCTACACATCAGACAAAGGACTGATAACCAGAATATATAGGGAACTTAAAAAACTAAATTCTCCCAAAACTAATGAACCAATAAAGAAATGGACAAGTGAACTAAACAGAACTTTCTCAAAAGAAGAAATTCTAACAGCCAAAAAACACATGAAAAAATGCTCACCATCTCTAGCAATAAAGGAAATGCAAATTAAAACCACGCTAAGATTCCACCCCACCCCTGTTAGAATAGCCATCATCAGCAACACCACCAACAACAGGTGTTGGCGAGGATGCGGGGGAAAAAGGAACCCTCTTACACTGTTGGTGGGAATGTAAACTAGTACAACCACTCTGGAAAAAAATCTGGAGGCTACTTAAAAAGCTAAACATTGATCTACCATTTGATCCAGCAATACCACTCTTGGGGATATACCCAAAAGAATGTGACACAGGTTACTCCAGAGGCATCTGCACACCCATGTTTATTGCAGCACTATTCACAATAGCCAAGTTATGGAAACAGCCAAGATGCCCCACTACTGACGAATGGATCAAGAAAATGTGGTATCTATACACAATGGAATTTTATGCAGCCATGAAGAAGAACGAAATGTTATCATGTGCTGGTAAATGGATGGAATTGGAGAACATCATTCTAAGTGAGGTTAGCCTGGCCCAAAAGACCAAAAATTGTATGTTCTCCCTCATATGCGGACATTAGATCAAGGGCAAACACAACAAGGCGATTGGACTTTGAGCACATAATAAAAGTGAGAGCACACAAGGGAGGGGTGAGGATAGGTAAGACACCTAAAAAATTAGCTAGCATTTGTTGCCCTTAACTCCGAGAAACTAAAGCAGATATCTTTTTTTTTTATTGTTTTATTATTCATATGTGCATACAAGGCTTGGGTCATTTCTCTCCCCTGTCCCCATAAAGCAGATACCTTAAAAGCAACCAAGGCCAATAGGAAAAGGGGACCAGGAACTAGAGAAAAGGTTAGATCAAAAAGAATTAACCTAGAAAGTAACACACACGCACAGGAAAGCAATGCAAGTCAACTTCCTGTATAGCTATTCTTATCTCAACCAGCAAAAACCCTTGTCCCTTCCTATTATTGCTTATACTCTCTCTACAACAAAATTAGAGATAAGGGCAAAATAGTTTCTGCTGGGTATTGAGGGGGTGGGGGGTAGAGGGAGGGGGTAGAGTGGGTGGTAAGGGAGGGGGTGGGGGCAGGGGGGAGAAATGACCCAAGCCTTGTATGCACATATGAATAATAAAAAACAAAACTAAACAAAAAGGAACAGGGGGCTGGAGGTGTGGTTCAAGCAGTAGACATGCCAAGCCCTGAGTCTGAACTAAAGCACTGCCAAAAAAAAAAAAAAAAAAAAGTGGGGGAGGTTGGGGAAGGGAACAGTTATCATGCAGTTAACAAATGATAATTTTTGCTGGGTGGCTCACGCCTATAATCCTAATTGAGAGTCTGAGATCAGGAGGATTGAGATTCAAGGCCAGCCCAGACAACAGTTCTCAAGATTCCGGTCTCCCAAATAACCACAGCAAAATGAACAGGAGGTGTGGCTCAAGTGCTAGAGCACCTACTTTGCATGCTGGAAGCCCTGAATTCAAACCCAAGACCACCAAAAAAAAAAAAAAAAAGATAATTTCTTGTAGTGAGCTTTGTCTGTTACATTTCAAATTAGGCAATACTAGTTTCAAAATTTTAAAGGTACAAAAGTGCTGGTTTCAAAGGGAGACATGCAATTTAACAACGGAGGCTAAATTCACCACCTGAACCCACTACAAGCTCAGTATCACCAATACTGGGAAAACTACAGTACACAGCATGGCCTGCATTTATCCCTAAAGTTTGATTTAACATGAATCCAATCAAGCATTTCACTCTAGAGTCTGTAACAAGCTAAGTGATATCACCAGGAATCTGGTAAGCTTAGATCACTGACCAAGTCTCTTTAACAAGTCAGAGAGAAAAAAAAAAAAAAGACTTCAAGACACATAATAATCAAATGTAACATGTGGCCTTTGAATGAAAACTGAATCCAAAATGGTTTAGATCAGTCAGGGACAAACACCTACAGTCCCAGTTACTGGGGAGGATGAGGTGGAAGGATCACTTGGACAAAGTTGGAGACCAGCCCGGGAAAAGTAGCAAAACCTCGGTTTAAAAAAAAAAAATTAGAGGAATTATTACTGGTATGATATTAGGATTATACAGGAAAATATTCTTTTTATTAGACATATTAAAATATTTAGTAATGACCTATCTAAAAAACAAAATACAAACAAAAGGTCTGAGGGTGTGGCACAAGTGGTAGTACCCAAGGCTCCAGGTTCAATTCTTAGTGCTGAAAAAAAACTTAAAAAACACCAACTCCTACAGTCAGGCATAATGGTGCTGTAATCCTATCACCCCAGCACTTAGGAGGCTGAAGCAGATGCTGGATCTGGAGTTTGAAGCCAGTGTTGGTTACCTGAGACCCTCTCTCAAAAAAATCAATAATATAGCCAGGAGCCAGTGGCTCACACCTGTAATCCTAGCTACTCAGGAGGCAGAGATCTGGAGGATCACAGTTGGAAGCCAGCCCAGGCAAATAAGTTCGCAAGACCCTATCTCAAAAATACCTGACACAAAAAGGTATTTTTGTGGAGTTGCTCAAGGTGTAGGTCCTGAGTTCAAGCCCCAGTACCACACACACACACACATTTGATTTTGTGTGTGTGTGTGTGTGCGTGTGTGTGTGTGTGTGTGTGTGTACAAAGCTCCTACCATTTGCTAACAACTGCAGGATGCAGTTTGCTTTCCCAGCAGAAGTACTTAGCACATCTAACTTGATGTAACAGGAAAGAGACCAGCTTTGGCACCATACTAATTTCACCACTTAGTCTAGCATGGTACATTTAAACAAATTACCACCAGAATTTCAGTGACCTCATCTGAAATGTGCTGCAAAAAACCACCTACCATTATTACAGTTTTTGTCACACACCTGAGTGTATCTGGCACACATATAGAAGAGGGTGATAAGCAAATCCTAGGTGAATCTGAATGCTATCTTCTACTGTTTTATTCTGGGCTAAACTTAAGAACAGAGTTCAAAACAAATTTTAAGATTTTCCATGGGGAGCTGGGGCAAGGCTCTCAAGTGGTAGAGCGCCTAGCAAGCACAAGGCTCTCAATTCAAACCCCAGTACCATCGGGGGAAAAAAAAAAAAAGGAAAGAGAAAAAATGATTTCCCGAGGGACTGAGAACAGTGCTAAGCTTTTAGCAACTACTCAAAAGTTATCTGTTGTTTGAATCAACTTGATCTTGGTGGATATAGCACTTACTTGCTAGGGAAGAGATAAAGTTCCGTAACTAGTAAGCACGACAGACCCAAATAGCTAAAAGTCACGGAAACATCAAACCTCCCAACAAAATGCCTTTATTTTACTCTCAAGGACGATTACATTGAACAGATTGAAGGGGAAGGCGGTGCAATGCATTTCCTCCCCGTAATTATGCACCAAGGTCATGCTAAATATTAAATGGATACATTGTAAGTGCTCCATAATTAGTTGCTACTAAGTCGCATCCCACCAAAGAGTGACGACGAAAGGAGGAAGAAGAACGGAGGCTGTCAGTCATGAGAAGCCGAAAGGTGTCCCTGGCCTGAAACACGCCAGCCTTTAAGCTCTAGGTTCCCCAACACCTTGCTCCACCCACCCTGCCGCCTCAACTGCAGGCCGAAAGAGCACGCGGCCTCCCGGAGAGGTCAAGGCTTTGGAACCACGCTTCCTTGTGGGGCTGGGAGCAGAGTCGGAACGCCCCCGCGGGAATCTGCGCCCTGAAGCCAGGGGCATCGCCTGCTCGTAAACCCGCGCGGGGTGGGGGACCGGGGACGGCGTGTGGCCCCGCGCCGCAGCCTGAGGGAGCACAGACGTGGCTGCGTCCTGCACCCCTCGCACCACTTCGCCCCGGGCAGCCCACCAGCACCCTCGGGCTCGGACACGCGCAACGCAAGCCAGCCCCTCGGTACTCACATTCACAGAAGACCCCTTCTACTCCATCAGACCACTGAGGGCCCGGCGAGGGAGGTCCCAGGTACCCCAGACGCCCTCACCTCCAGCTCTGGGTCCGGCGGCCCGCCCGGGACCCGCTCCCCGCCGGGCACCGAGGCCGCCGCCGCCGCCGCCGCCGCCAGCGCGCAAGCGCACACCACCGCCGTCGCGTTCCCTGCTCCCCCCTCCCCCACCCCGTCCGCCTTTTTCAAAACTGTAGCTTTATTTGAACCCAGTTAGTGAACAATGGACACAGGAGAAAGGCCTTAATCAAAGGCAGGAAGAACCAGAGGCCTGCCGGTCTGCGGCTGAATGAATCCGCTGCCCCAGCCTCCCAGAACCTTTCTCATTCTCCTTGCTCCTTCTGGGCCCCTCTCTTAGCTTCTACTCTCTTCCTATGGACAAGGACGTGTTTTTTGGACTACATTTCTAAACCACTCCTTCCTTGTGAAACTTAGCAGAGTTTAATGGAAGGTGCAAGAGCTTTAAAATAAACAGATCCGAATTCAAATGTTAGTCTAGTTAATACCGATTTTTGACTTTGGGCAAGTTGCCAAGATTGCTTAGCACTCTAGTTTTCTAAGTTAAAATTAGGATAATAGCTCACAGGATGTGGCCAGGATTAAATGAGATAACATACATCAAGTTTTTATCCATGAATGTAGCCTTTCAAAGACCAGACAACCCATAAATACCTGTGATTATATTCTTATTCATACACAAAATATATTTTATTGTTAAATTTAGCCCATCCCCATTTCCTGGGGACTCTATTTTAGTGACTAACATTTGTCAAAGTTACATTAAGGTTGATAAAGATGTAAGTTCTACTTCTAGATGATTGAGACTATAACATCTGTTTAAGGAGGTGCTCCAAATCAAAATAAGCAGCTATCTTCACCTATGTGTAAATTCACATTTCCTTCTGGAGGCCTAGAAAACTCTTCCAGTTCTGTATTTGTGACATCACAAGTCCTTGAAACACTCAAGGTGGGTAGTATGCTACTCATTCTACTGTCCTTTAAAGGCCTGCAAGGGAGGAAGTGCTTTATCCTATAAGCTCAGGGCCACAGCCCAAGGAAAAGCCTGTAGATCAAGGTCAGATATTGGTGAGCAACAAGTTAACCTTAGATTAGGATTTTTCAACTTTTAGAATATTAACATTTTGAAGCAGATAATGCTTTGTTGCCAGCGGTTGTCTTGTCATCCACTCTAAGATGTTCTGCAGCATCCTTGGACTTGATACTCCACCTGCTCTCCTTGTCCTCACAATAACCAAAAAGTTCTCCAGATTCTGCCAAATGTTCCCTAGAAAGCAAAGTAGTCTGGTTGAGAATCATGGTGTTATATCCATGACCATTCCAATCCTAAATGAACTCAACATACATTTTCTTCACCTCCACCCCTGTGAGAAGTGATTACTGTTTGAGTAAGCTACACAGGAGCACAGAAATTGGTGAGTTCCTTTCTACCAATCTTAAAAAGGCTCTCAACACTGCTGACCAATCCTACTACTTTTCTCTGGTCAATTTGGTCTATCACTTTCCATAGCAGTATTCTATTTTTTTTTTTCATTTTTCTTTTATTATTCATATGTGCATACAAGGCTTGGTTTATTTCTCCCCCCTGCCCCCACCCCCTCCCTTACCACCCACTCCACCCCCTCCCGCTCCCCCCCTCAATACCCAGCAGAAACTATTTTGCCCTTATCTCTAATTTTGTTGTAGAGAGAGTGTAAGCAATAATAGGAAGGAACAAGGGGTTTTGCTGGTTGAGGTAAGGATAGCTATACAGGGCATTGACTCACATTGATTTCCTGTGCGTGTGTGTTACCTTCTAGGTTAATTCTTTTTAATCTAACCTTTTCTCTAGTTCCTGGTCCCCTTTTCCTATTGGCCTCAGTTGCTTTAAGGTATCTGCTTTAGTTTCTCTGCATTAAGGGCAACAAATGCTAGCTAGTTTTTTAGGTGTCTTACCTATCCTCACCCCTCCCTTGTGTGCTCTCGCTTTTATCATGTGCTCATTGTCCAATCCCCTTGTTGTGTTTGCCCTTGATCTAATGTCCACATATGAGGGAGAACATACGATTTTTGGTCTTTTGAGCCAGGCTAACTTCACTCAGAATGATGTTCTCCAATTCCATCCATTTACCAGTGAATGATAACATTTCGTTCTTCTTCATGGCTGCATAAAATTCCATTGTGTATAGATACCACATTTTCTTAATCCATTCGTCTGTGCTGGGGCATCTTGGCTGTTTCCATAACTTGGCTATTGTGAATAGTGCCGCAATAAACATGGATGTGCAGGTGCCTCTGGAGTAACAGTCTTTTGGGTATATCCCCAAGAGTGGTATTGCTGGATCAAATGGTAGATCGATGTCCAGCTTTTTAAGTAGCCTCCAAATTTTTTTCCAGAGTGGTTGTACTAGTCTACATTCCCACCAACAGTGTAAGAGGGTTCCTTTTTCCCCGCATCCTCGCCAACACCTGTTGTTGGTGGTGTTGCATAGCAGTATTCTAAATCTCAACTACCAAGACTACCACTTTTTTTTTTTTCAGGCATCTATCACTTCAGCTATGCTCCTAGAACCCCCTCCAGTCTTTTTTCTTTTCTTTTTTAGGTGCATCCTTGCTGACTTTGTCTCTCCTGGTCTTGAATTTCAGATCCTCCTACCTGTGCCTCCACAACAGCTGAGATTACAGGCATGCACCACTACTCTCAGCTTCTCACCACCTCCTTTTTAATCAGCAGATGAACTGCCTCCTGCTTTACAAAGAATTGTAACTTCCTGTTACTAAACATACAAGCTAACAAATACTTCCTCTCACTGTAATTGAGAAGTTCCTTTTCTTTCTCCCTCTCTTCTCCCAACACCATTCCTCCCACCAGTGCACTGAATTGCTTCTACTTTCACCCTCTCAAGATCTTTATCCACTATTTTTTTAATTCAACTGTTAAAAACACAAAGACAAAAAAATCAACTGGTTTTTCTCAGTTGAATCATTGCTATTATGCTCAAGTTTCTCCTATCATTATTCTAAGAAATTTCAAAAAACATCAAACCCTCATCATCCTCTCTCAAGGCCAAAGTTTCCACAAGCATTCTATAACCTGATCCCATTTCTGTATCTCTTCCCTCTCCAAACTACTGCAACGTAGTTTTTGACCTTGCCATTCATTCTCCTAAACAGATATCACTTTCACCGATGACCTCCTTGATCCATTAGAAATAAGACTACCTCTTTGGAACACTTTTCCTTTTGATTTCTAGCATTTTATTTTTAGAAGTGCATGGGAGAATTCCTGGTGCAAGTGATTTAAAATAAATATTCACGTACTTAAAACCCTTCAATAGTTTTCAGTGGTTGTAAATTTCGGTCTCGTACATGCTAAACAATCACTATCACAGAGCTATATACCCCAGCCCCCCTGCCCTGATTTTTACTTCCTTTTTTTCTTTTCTTTTTTGAGACAGGGTCTTATTATGCCTCCAATTCCTGAGCTCAAAGTGATCCTCTTTCCTTAACCTCTCAAGTAGCCTGGGATTATAGCCGTGAGCCACCACATCCTACTCATTGCTAGCCTTTTAATGCTCACTTTTCCCTACATTAAAGAATATAAGAGGGCTGGCAGAATGGCTCAAGTAGTAGAGCGCCTGCCTAGCAAGCGTGAGGCCCTGTGTTCAAGCCTCAGTACCGCCAAAAAAACCGAACCAAAACAAAAGAATATAAGATGAGCTCTAAGCCTCTAACAAGAGAAGACTACCAGAACTTTCCAGAAGGCATTACATCGTTGGCATAAGGCTATTCCCAGGACCTGTAAAACTCTATTTCCCTCCCGGGTTTTCGGGAGAACTCTTATCTTTCACAACTCTGAAAGTCATTTCCTCCGGTAACTCTTCAGCCACCACTAATAGAACGCTTTGTAACACTGTGAGCCAAAAGCGCCTCGGATTTTCTATTTGCCACGCACCATATTCTAGCCACTATAATTTGTTTTCGTATCTACGGTCCAGTCTAGACATAGCAACCCCCCCCCCCAAAATCTGTAGATCAGGTAGGGTTTGGTCGCCTCTTTTCCTCAGCGTTCATTCCCTACAGTGTTGGGCACACGCTGCCTTCAGTAAATGTGGCTTGAGCGCTTTCCACCTTCCGGCGGGAGGAGAATCTCTCCGGTTAACGGGTGAGTTCCCAGACTCTCCGCCTGCGTGGCAGGGAGCTTTAAACCCCTCGCTCAGTGATTGGCTCCAGCTGCAGGGGTGTGTCTGAGGCCGCGGCGAATGAGAAGTGCGCATGCGCACGAGTGCGACGCGCGCAGGCGCATCAAAGACGCAGCGCCTGGTCCGGTCTGAAAGTGTCCGGTCTGAGAGTGTCCGAACTGTGGCGGCCGGAGAGGAGTGGCTGGAGCCGCTCGGTGAGCCTCGGGGAGTGGGACTAAGGGAGCTGACCGGAGGAAAGTTTGGGATTATATCCTGAGGAGAGTGTATTGTAACAGTTGAAAAGTTTGTAGGGTCGGGCTTTAGGGGAGGAGGGGGCTCTCCGGCCCAAACTTGGCAGATTGGGCCCGGAAGGAGGACGCCAGGCGCAAGCAGATCCTCTAAGGACCGGCGGAGGAAGGGTGGCGGGATGTTGGGACCATGGATTCTTTCTCTAACGTAAGCAGAGATCGACTCCCATTCCCTTACCCCCACCCCCCGGGGTTACTGGGCGGGTTTAATAGACTGCATGGTGGGTGACCACAGTTCTGAGACAATTGTTTAAGACTCTGAGGGTCATGGCGTTGCGTACGCCTTGCTGTCCAGGAAAGTCCATCCTTACCTGGCCGCTTCTCCATAGCGCGCACAAAGAAAAGGATCAGTAAAAACAAAGTTCACAGTTCAGAGTTGAAGTGTGTGGGGGTGGGGGTGGGGTGAGGGGGAGGGGGTGGGGGAGGAACTACTGTAAAATGCTGTTTCACTTTGTCGGGGTTTTTCTGTCCTTAATCATTAGTCACTCCAATGTTAGGAAAGCAGCTGATGGTAGATGAAACCTAAAGACGTCAAAGTTGGTTGGAAAAAATAAAAAGACGGGAAGGGAGTATCATTTATATCGTTTTACCGTTGCTGTTTGTCTTCTAGGGGTTTGGGCTTGGGCTTGGCGGGACGGTGACAGAGGGGAGTTTGGATACCAGCACAGCTTTCTGACAGTGTACCCTGAGCCTTATGAAAATAGTATAGTTTCTCACTAGCAGGTAATTTAAGAATTGAAAGGGATCCTACCCTATCAGCCCGGCTGCCCTGAAGACTGGTTCTCATATGTCTTGGTGAAATAGTAATAGTGCAGAAATGGCCAGGGATAAGTGGTTCTTTCCCGTCCTGGAAAATACTACACTTAAACTTCGTGATTCATCATTAGCTGGAATACTTTCACATCTAATCTTAAATATTTCTGTTTCGAGGCTTGGCAGAATGGTTCAAGGTAAAAATGCCTGCCTAGCAAGCATAAGGCCCTGAATTAAAACCCCAGTACCGCCAAAAAAACAAAAAAAATTTTAAATATTTCTGTTTTTTTATTTTGGTTTTTCAGACAGTTTCCCTATATAGCCCACAGTGGCCTCAAACTGGTGATTCTCATGCCTCAGCCTCTTGAGTTCAGGGATTACAGATATGTACCACCACACTCAGCTTTTTTTTTGTGGGGAGGTCCATATTGGGGTTTGAACTCAGGGCCTCACACTTGCTAGGCAGGTGCTCTACCACTGGAGCCACTCCACCACCCCTTTTTTGAATTGGGTATTTTTGGTGGGGAGGGGGGCAGTAGTAGGGTTTAAACTTAGGGCCGCAGGCAGGCACTCTTACTGCTTGAGCTACTCCCAGCCATTTTTGTGATGGGTTTTGTTGAGATAGGGTCTCATGAACTATTTGCCCATGAATGGCCTTGAACCACCATCCTCCTGATCTCTGCCTCCTGTGTAGCTAGGATTACAGGAGTGAGCCACTGGTGCCCAACTCACATTCAGCTTTTTAATCTTAAAATATTTCATAGCAAAATATGAAAAAGAAATATTTCTGCTACCAGCAAAGTCAATGCTTAAGGCATCCATTGATCACTTGTCATTCGTTCTCTTGTCAAGAGGTAATGAGAAAGAACACATTCATATAAATATTAGCAGATAGGAGAGACCTTTTTCCATTACCATTCTTTTGTGACAGATCATGCCAAAGTAAATTTAATGATCATTGTACTTAGCTTAAATTTTTGTCAGTATTGTTAAGTGTTTTGTTTATTTTTGTTTTTGGGGGAGACTTGGGTTTGAACTCAGGGTTTTATGCTTGGAAAGCAGGCCCTCTACTGCTTGAGCCATACCTCCAGTCTACTTTGCTCTGGTTATTTTGGTGATGGAGTCTCATGAACTACTTGCCTGGACTACGTGCCTGGGCTAGCCTCAAACATCTGTCCTCCTGATCTCAGCCTCCCAAGTAGCTAGGATTATAAACTTGAGCCACTGGTGCCCGGCTTTTTTAAGGTTCTAATGGTATGTGGATGCATTAGAAAACTGTTCCGGAATAGGACTGACTTCTTGTACTATTGTTTGCCTAGTGGTATTACATACTCTTTTCTATGAACAGTAGAATTTCTGTATGCATATTGGTGTTTGTTTCTTAAACTCTGAATAAGCTTAAGTAGGGTACACAAGTTCACTTAACCAAAGGTCATGTTTTCTCTAAATTCAGAACACAACCTAAAGCCAGGAAGAAAGCATGCAAATAAATAAAAACAGGCCCTGTGCTAATGGAAAACTGGATCTTCACTCATGAACTACACCACCATCACCCTGTTTGCCATCTGGAGTACTGTCTGTTATTATTTTGCTTCTTTTTGTTTGGTTTCTGCTGGGAATTGAATCCAGGGCCTGGAGCATACTAAGCACATACTTTAGCACTGAACTGTACCCCCAACTTAAATTTATTGCATACTTTAAACTTTTTTTTTTTTTTTGTGGTACTGGGGTTTGAACTCAGGGCTTCATGCTTACTATACAGGTGCTGTACTGCTTGAGCTACATCTCCGGTCCATTTTCTCTGGTTATTTTGGAGATTGGGTCTCTCAAACTGTTTGCTTGGGCTGGCCTCTAACCATGATCCTCCCATTCTCAGCTTCCCAAGTAGTTAGGATTACAGGCGTGAGTCACCAGTGCACAGCGTCTGTCTGTCTGTCTTTCTCTCTCTCTCTCTGTCTTTCTGGGAGGGGGGTGTGCTGCTAGGCAAACACTCTACCACTTACTTGAGCTACATCTCAATCTTTTTGTTTTTTGTTTTTTGGGTGGCACTGGGGTTTGAACACAGGGCCTCACACTTGCTAAGCAGGCACTTTTACTGCTTGAGCCATTCTACCAGCCCATCCAGTTTTTTTATTTCTTATATTTTGTGTGTGGTTCTGGGAACTGAACTCAGGGTCACACTGTTATAGTTTGTATTTCAGATAGGGTCTGGTACATTTGTCCCAGCTGGCCTTGACTTCAATCCTCCTACCCCTACCTCCACCTCCCAAGTAGCTGGGATCACAGGTATGCTCTACCATGCCTGAAGCCTGAATTTTTTTTGTTTTTTTTTTTTTGGAGACAGGGTCTTGTTATGTACTAGGCTGACCTCAAATTCTTAATCTTCTTGCCTCAACCTCCAGAGTGCTGGGATTATAAGCAAGTACCACCATGTCCAGCTATTTTATACCTTTTCCTAGGACACATAACAAATAAATAATTAGTAAGTGCATTCCTTATGTAACAGCTAAAGATTATCTCATGTTTTTGCTGTATACTTTGCAAAATGCTGCTTTGGGTCTAATTTCATTTTTAAAATAAAATGAAGGTTAGACTAAGACCAATGAGTTTGATAATTCTGTGAGGCCTGCGATGGTATTCATTATTGTGACATAATTCTAGCAAATTTATCTAGTTTCACCAGATGAAAACAAATTAGTATACTAAGAAGGAAAAAGCGGATGTTTACGCTGACATTTTTGTGAAATCAGCTGCCTTTTTTTCTTCCTTAAAGTAAGGCTTTTTTTCATTTGTCCTGTGTATCAGACACTGTAAAAATCTGGTTTTTGGCTATGTCCGAATTATGTGTATGTTGACATTAATGATGTATGATATTGTTTGTACCTAAGGGTGCCGAACTTTTTATTTCAGTAGCATATTTAGAGGAGTAGATGACAGACAATGACCTTTTTTTGTTGTGATAGTGGTGGGTAGAAAGTTGACACAGATGGATCTAGTGCCTCCAACAATTGGAGGAAGTGTATTAGTAGGCAGGAAATAGCATGTACTGTGCTTTTTGACAGTGCTAAGGACTAAATCCAGGGCTTCATGCTTGATAGGCAAGAACTCTACCACTGAGCTACACCCCGACCTGTGTCTTTTTTTAGTATTGGCAGTGGTAGGAAGCTCCATTTGCACTTATTCAAATTTCCTGATAATTTGTTTTAGTTTAGGGTGTGTTACTACTAAAAGTGTTACTACACTGATCACTGTATTTTTCTGACATTCTCTCATTTCTGCAAGTTTTGAAACTTAGATTTAAAGTTGTTTTAAATTTATTTTAACAATGTAGTTGAGATTACTTTAGATGGTATCTTAATACTTATAAAATAAATCCAAGCTTCTTTTTTTTTTTCCTTGGTGGAACTGGGGTTTGAACTCGGGACTTCATGCTTACAAAGCAGGCACTCTGTTGCTTGAGCCACACCTCCAGTTCATTTTACTGTGATTATTTTGGAGATGGGGTCTCATGAACTATTTGCTGGGCTGGCCTCAAACCTCAGTCCTCCTGATGTCAGCCTCCCAAGTAGCTAGGATTATAGGTGTGAGCCTCCAGCATCTGGCACAAACCCAATCTTCTTGGTGTATTGTACACAGCCCTTCACAATCTATCTCCTATCTGGCTTTTTAAGCCACCCTGGCCCCCCAAAACACACACACACATTCCTGCCAGACCACTGAGGCCTTGCATTGTCCCATTTCTTTGATAGTTCATAATTATAATTTTTTAGAGTTGATCATGCTTACTTAGATTTTTACTTACACAAATCAAAATCAAGAGATATTTAACATTTTTTTTTCTACTGCTAGGTATTGAATACATAGCCATAATTATGCCTGCTGAATGCACCCTCTCACTGACCTGTATCCCTGGCCCCTGAGCTACACTCCTAGCAAGGATATGTTACAGGCCTGTAATTCCAGCACTTGGAAGGCTGAAGCAGGAGGATCATGAGTTAGAGACCAGAAGGGATGTAATAAGAATAAAATCGTTATTATGGTGGTATTTCTAGCACTTGGGGCACTGAAGCAGGAGAAGTTTGAGTTCATGTTTAGCCTAGCCTACCTTAATGAGACCCTGTCTAGAAAACCAAAAAAAAATAAAACAAGAAACC